TAATATCTCTACTGGTCTGAGTTCAACTTGATTGAAAATGTGAAGCTAATTTTCTTTTCCTTTGATCTGTTGGCTTCCAATATTCAAAGTTTTCGTGTTTGCATTTGGATTTTCTTATCGTCATTGAAGTCCATGTAACTTTAATGCCTCCCGGAGTGGAGGGGGGATTTTTTACGGTTTCATTTTGCACTACGAATTCTCCGTTATTATTATTCTGGAATCATTGAATTTCGTGTTCTTAAGTATCAGATCGATGTCACACTCGGTATCATGTTCACTGTGCTATATGATAACTTCATGTTATACTGTATTATGAACTATCTTTCAGTTTTTCGCCCCCCCCTACTCACCTTTATTTCAAACAATTCCGCATGCATTATATTATGTGCTCAGTAAGATAATTATGTGAATATAATGATCCATCATTGTTTACTTTATTTTTATTTCAATGATTAAATCAATTGACAATCGATTTCTGCAAATTATAAGTCAATATTCAATGACAGAGTTGACAGATAACATGTGAGATATTTTCTTAGTACAGATACTTTCTTTCTGACCCGAGATGGGTCCATAATACGTCAGCGATAGTTCGTCTTGAGAACACGAATGTCTACAAGCAGTTGTGAAACCGTAACTTTTTCCTCAGCAGCAACACGAATAGTTTGTTGTTCCAGAGATTGGTAACTTATCTCTGGTTGTTCATCAAATGTTTATCCGGTTGGTGTAAGCACTGATCAGATTTCGTTTGTCGAGTATCTATTCCGTATGAATATCAATTTAGTTCGAGATCTGAGTTAATGCCTTAGTGGTTTTTATAAACTTTAACTGAGTGTAGGATCCGAACTCACGATAAAAATTTTCATGGATCATTTTACACTTGGCAGAGATCAGTCACCCACTCACTTGGAATCTGCTCGCACCGTCCTTATAATTTATTCAGCGCCAGCCAACAGTCATCACGAAAATACTGTCTGCACTGTTCCTTCAAGTTTAATATGTCACAGAACTATTCTCAGATTTCTGTATGATATAAGGAACCAGTTTCGCGTATTGATGCAATTGACAGCAGTGATATTCCATATTTTTGATATCTGACTGACATTTCAATTTTTCACTTTTAATTTTTTCTTGGTACTTGTGGGAGTGTATGGCCGATTGAAATATCTCCATCGAATTTTTCGATCATCTCTGTATGGATTTGGAGAATTTCAACATTATATGATTCATTACGTATCGGACCAATATTGGATGTTTGTATTTTGAATGAAATCATATTTTCTGCTCTGCAGGATATAAAGCCAAAGTAAGTTTTTTTTGAGGTTAATATTTTCAGACTTGTAAGTTTCTATTTATAACTTCAGAGCTCCTGTCTTGTCTATTCAACAAGTACCATTGTGGAAATAACTGACACGGACAATTCACAACATCGGAATTGTTAAAATAACCCTCAGCTACAAAAGAGGTTAGTATTATCTTTGTCAGTCAGCATTATCAGTATACAATCAATTGAAGTGAACTCAGACTAGTATTGTTTATTTTTAGGGTCCTAGTCCTAGTCCTACTCTTAGTCTTAGTCCTAGTCCTAGTCCTCGCCCTAGGCATAGGCTTCATCCCACTACTAGTACTAGTACTACTGTTCATCCTAGTCCCTGGTCATTGTATGTCTGGACCATAGACTTGTGCTGGTATCTATCATATACATCTACACAACTTGTCAAGAGTTTTTTTTTTTACATTGGTTAACAAGAATACCTGCAGTTTTTGCTGTGTCTTCGACAACGAGCAGTCTGCCAGTTAAGGCCTGATTGCCTTGACCAGAGAGAAGAGGGATTCAATCATAAGTAACGCCATAGGAGCTCCACTGAGCATTCAGATAAGTCTGTCAAACCATAAAACATAAGGGAATGCCCCATATACCTGTATAATATTTTACATTCAATATTAAGTTGTACGCTATCCCCGTGACGTCACATGAATAGCCCTTCTCAGGACCTTCCCTAAATTTGCATCAATTCAATATACAATAACTATATATCTGAAATCTGAATGCTCTCTTGAATGCCGTTTCACTTACATAAATATATATGGTGTTATCATATGATTTGAATAGATAGTTTTCAAGGTGGATGACTATTATTTCTTCATCAATCAACCCCAGGGTACTTTTACCAGATATTTGTGATGTATTGACTCTACCGATCGCAGAGGTTCATTCCTTTCATCAGGGTGGTTTCTGATTTTGGCTAGCGAAAAATCAGTGGCGCACCGGAAAATGTACCCCTTTCATTATAAACTGTTATTCATATAATTCAAAAATACATGAACCGTACCCACACCCTAACTGAGCAGCTGGGAGGGTAAGTGGCAAGTACTTTATCTTTTGCATGAACCCTGCTTATCAAAACCTTGCCCCTAACAAATTTCTTTTTTCATCAGAAGCCGACATAATTTTTGATAAACATAGGATACTTCTCACCGCATTAAAATGCTCCGTTCCTATGAGAAAACTGGTCATAGGACAACGGGTAGTTACTTTCACACAACTTTCAAATGGCTGAACCGATTGGGTTAGGGCTGCATCTATTAGTAAGTTTACGTACGAATAAAATGCTCAAATCCTATTCGCACGTTTACGTTCGAAAAGGTTTCGACGTACCTATATGTACGTATGCGTACGTATAATATGCCAATGCCTATCCGCACGTTCACGTACGAATATGGCTGGCAGTACCTATACGTACGTATACGATATAAGGTTCACTTTTATATCAGGTGTTATTCGTTGCTGATTTGGTTTTGAATTGCTTAAGGCAATAGAGCGCATATATGTTTGAGAATTGTCAAACAAAATCTTTTGACGATTGGATCACTATTCGGATTCAGTAGTAAGGTTGAACGCCAGTTGATTTTATGAACTTCAGAAAACTCTTTCAAGATACTTTTCATGAATTCTGTTTCGTTGTCGAAGATAATATTTTCTGAGATTATGTATTCCTTCGTGATGCTCTTGATTTTCATCATTTTGAAAACACAAGACATATTGCGCCACCAGAATGATGCGTTCCGTCCGTAGACACTTAAGAAAGATCGCCAGTAATGCAAAATCATCACTGATGATGTGCAGGAACCCTGCAGGCAAAACGGGTGTAACCCATCAATACTGCGATGGATGAACACCATGCTAGTAAGACCAATGATCACCTACGCAGCAGTAGTGTGGCACGGCAGAACCGAACTCGCCACTACGAGGAAAATATTAGAGAAGGTGCAAAGATTGGCATGTCTTTGCATAACAGGAGCAATGAGATCAGCTATAACAGCAACACCAGAGGTCATTTTGGATCTCACACCTCTACACATCGTGGTGAGGAGAACTACCTATGAAGCACATCTCAGGTTAGCCAAGGTCGGACTAAGAGAGAAGACGCACAGTGCAAGGGGCTCACCCTTCACAGAGATCGCACACCTCGCCGATCTCCCAACAGACCAAATCATTAGGAAGTTCAGTTTTGAGGAGAACTTCCGAGTGGAGCTGAGCAACAAGCGCAAATGGAGTATAGAATCCATCGAATCACTAGGAAAAACATCATTACTTGGTATACGGACGGGTCTAAAACACCCGAAGGAACTGTAGCAGGAGTCTTTGGGCCTCTCACCAAATACTTCGAACCCACGGGACAATCGCCCAGCATTTCTCGAGCGGAAATTCACGCCATAGGAAGATGCATCAAGTTCAACCTAGACAGGAAATACCAGAAGAAGGACATCGCGATTTTATCCGATAGCCGAGCAGCTATCAAAGCGATGAGCTCTCCTTACATCAACTCGAAGATGGTATGGAAATGCCTGAGCAAATTGAATGAGCTAGGCAGCAACAATAAAGTGATCCTCCTCTGGGTGCCAGGGCATATTGGAGTGGAGAGGAATGAATACGCAGACACTCTGGCACGACAAGGGGCTTCAACGCGACTGATCGGACCAGAGCCATTCTGCGGCCTTGGAAATTCCTATTTCACCGGAGAACTTGAGGAGGCGGAATGAGCTTGGAGAGTCAGACAATGGAGAAGACCTCCAGGACTACGGCACTAAGACACTGACAAACCTCAGCAAAGGAAGTCTCAAAGCAATAACGGGATTTCTAACGGGGCATTGCAGACTCAAAGAACACCTGAAGAAGCTAGGCTTACAGGAGGACGGCACCTACAGATTCAGTGAGGAAGAACGAGAAACACTCCATTACATACTGATGTAGTGTGACGCTGTACATCACAAAAGATTGAACATACTGGGAACACACAAATATACCACGAACATTCATTCGATGTCTGTATACAACACAAGAAATGTTTACTGTACGGTTTCCCTAGCAATTCCTAGAAGTACATTAATAAAAAAGTATTTTATTTATAATGCCAAAAAAATGTTCAATCACCTGCCTTCACATATTGTTTCATTGCTAACACATACCGAGTTCAGAAAGGCAGTAAAAGAGCTACTACTGAATAAAGCATATTATACCTTGCAAGAATTTTATGAAGACGCATTTAATTGAGTTCATCAGTTCGTATAATTCGATTCTAATTGTTCAATATATTTTTTTATAGTGTGACTATTACTAATATATGTTCTACTTGAATGTTTTGTTTCATATATATGTGCATATTTTACATGATTCTATGTAGTTTTAATATTAGTTATAGCTTATAATACACATGCTTTGTCAACAAAAACTTTTGGTTTTTAGTACAATAAAGACTTTCTTCTTCTTCTTCTTCTTCACACCAGCTGACTGTGGAAGAAATACCACAGCTGGACCCCCTCGAAATCCTCAAATTCCTCTGAAGGAATTGAATCTCGAAGGGCTCTGCTATAAACAAGAAATCCTTGATACAGCAGAAGCAGATGAAGCACAATAGATCTTATTAGGTCGCAGCGCATCTGTCACTATCCAACCTACCAATACCAATACCAATACCAATACCAATATAAACAAAGATTTACCATCTTGTTCGGCTAACTGGATTTCCGCGAACATTTTCAGTTTCGAAACATGGATTTCGATCGACTCTCCTCATAACTGTCATGCAGAGAGAATAATTCGAAGGTTTGTCGATTATATTTATGGTCCAAATCGGATTTTTTGTAGTTGTATCTACAGTTTGGTTGTCGTCTTCATCGAGGTTCATTTGTCCTATCATTGATTGATTATCGAGTTCATTACTAGTGGAAGGTGTGGAATCCTCGTCTTGAATGAAATTTCCATCATATTCTTGCATGTACGAGAGTATAGGCATTTTTTCTGTGGTGTTTTGGTCGTCAGTCTGAATAAATTCCTACTATAGAGAGGGCATCCTCGTTTGTGCTTATTTTTCCTCTTTCGTTGATCATCTGATGATTATATTCTTTGAGTTTCAATCTACAACGGACCAGAAGGAAGTTGAGCTCTTCAAGAGACATGAGCCATTGGCTAGGTTCGTGATCTGTTATAATTTCGAATTTTCTGCTAAACAGGTACGGCCTAAAATATTTTGTGATTCTGTTCTGAATCACTCAATTTGCGAGATACGTAGGCGATAGGTTCTTCTTGTCCAATACCGCCCTGTAGAAGAATGGCATATGGCAATATCACTCACGTATGCTGTCAGGAGTCTTTAGCCTATTGTCAGGTCAGGATATTGAAGGATGAGGTCAGGAGAGGTTTGAAAGTTCAAAGTCTCTGATATAAATATAATATCATTAACATCAATTTCAGCCCCATTTTTGAAACATCGAATGAGTGTTCTTGGAAGAATTTCGAATGAATTTTTTATGATAGCCTAAAAGTTCGAGAAATCCTTCGATTTATTCTTCGGGTTTTGGAATAGGATGATAATGAATAGATTTCGTTTCATCATTCCAAATTCTTAGGGATGTTTTGTCCTCGTTTCTATAAAAATGTATATTATTCTAATATACGTGTAGTAACGACAAATCAGATGATCTGCTTCAAAATGTCACTGCGTTCAAAGAATTTTCCCATCAGAGAGCCCAGAAGAAAAATTCACTAGCTTGTCAGTGACAATTTGTATGAAAAAAAGTTTTCTAGAAGAGAAATGGAGGTATATGGGAACGATATCAAATTAACACTTATCTTTGGACGTTTCGGGACCGAATCTGCTTCCGATTTTAACATAAGAAATGATTATTCCAATAATTTACATATTTTCATTTTATAGAAACGAGGAGAAAAAATCCCAGGAAATTTGAAATAATGAATGTACCACCTCCTCGATTAACCTACAGACAGTATTTAGATTTCGTTTCACCCGAATTTGGTTCAATTCCATCCAGAGTGTCCTAAGAATGCTTTTATAGTCCTCAGGGGCTACTGTCTCGTGATTTTTTGAAGACTAGTTCTAGATTTGTTAGATGTTGCGAATGGAAGTAGTTTTTTCAATATCATCAGGATGCATTTCAATCTGGAAGCCGCTTGCTGAATTCATTTGTCAAGGATATCGGATATGTTTGAAATAAAATATCTGTCGTTAATTGTCTTCACGTGGATTTCTATATAGTCGACAACTATACGCAAGTTTTCCTTGCCTAATGCGTAGGATTTCGAAGGTTCTATTCAGATCAGGAAAGACTGGCTCTGATAATGTATTGTCCAAGGATTTCATTGATCCTTCTTTTATCTTTTGGGTTATGAATAAGAGGATGACGATATGATTGCGAATCAGTAGGTGATTCGTCTGTGGCTCTTATTTTGTATTCAACTTGATTTGTGGAGGTTACTTCTCAATTTCCAAGATGAAATATATCTGAAACAACAATGAGATAAATCTTTTCTGTCTCATTTCCTTTCTTGATCCATGTGCTCTGTTCTTATGGGTTGCATAATGTCGGGGTTCTGTATACTTTCGTAATCTGTGTCTAATATTATCGGAAGATAAAGTTCAAAGTTCTACTGGTACGGGTTTATGAAGAAAAATTATCTCGATCCACGCTGGTGTTATTCTGAATATCTACAGATACATATCCTATGAGTTTCATGGATTTTAATATCAGTACCTTCGGTATCGCAACTGCAATTCTATTAGATTTTATGGTAGATGATTTGTTTCGTGCGGAGAATGAGAGTGAACAAGTGGAATTTGATCCTCCTATCTGACTCGCATTTGCTGAAGGCTGGAATTGCGGCACACTGATCTCTGCGAGTTGTTCGAAATATCAATGAGATTGTGAAGGGTTCCTTCTTTATAAAGTCGTTATAATTGTTTCTTGCAACTGCGAGATTAAAAAATGATTGAGTAGCTCCTGTATCAATAATTTCAATAGAGGATTAGAAATCTGGATATATCGAATATCTTTCCGGTCATTGATTGAATGAATTTTTATGTGTTTTGTTTTCTAAAGAGTCTATTTGTTGATAATTCTAATGGGGTTCATTGATTGGTTCTGATTGATATTCATCATGATTCGGATTTTGCTAACAAATTTGATTCTGAGAGGTGCTCGGTTTATTCTGATAGTCAAAATATTGATCCTCGTAATAATCATTCTGATATTGGCTGTCCAAATGCTCTTCGTCAATTTGTAAATCTACGTTATATACTTCCACAGGGGTATAAGATTCATTCGGGATGGTTGATGAAATATATTTGATCTATCGTCATTCTAGGTACATAAGAAATTCCGTTCATTGTAGTAGGTCTAGGTCTAGTATGATTTTGTGGGTGTAATCTCGATTTCGAAAAGGTCTTCGATTCCTAAGAACTTGGCGGATTATAAAAAAAAACGTTGTGAAGTGGCAGGTCTTGTTTGAATTTGTACAGGACCGCGTGGAATATCGTGGGGTGAAAATAGGTTTGGGAGTTATTTTGGGAATAATCAGCGGACTCGTGACGATTTTCAAACTGATTTTGATATTCATTATTGTAGTTCGTAATTGATCTTTGTTGGAAATGATTATTAATAGGTTTTTGCAAATGCCGTTCAATTCAAGAAATCATTTGTTGACTAGCTTCTGTGAATCGTTTGGTTTCATTGCTCTGATTGTCGAACCTAAGGGTTAATTCTTTCAACCCTGCAAGAAAAATATTCAATGCATGTGTATTATCAAAAGGTGTCGCCACTATCTTGTTATTATGATTATTTTTATGTGAATCTAGATAGAAATTGAAAGAAAGATTCGTTTTTACTTCGTTGATGTTAGTCCAAATCAAGAAGTAATTCGTTTTCATGGAAGCAAAATGAATTAGTTCCCCGATGGAGCACTGAGTTCTTCTGGATGAATAGTTGGAACTAACAGCTTATTCGTGATTAATTCCGTTTTCAAAATCCTACCGACTGCGCCATTTTATGTTTCTACTTTCCCAAGGAGGCTTTCTGGGGAAGCTCCCAACAACTTGGAGGATGAACATTTTTCATTGAATCAGTTTGACAAGATGAAATATATACATCTTTACTCGACTGAGAGTAGGTCTATCCTGAACTGTGGTTCGCAAGGCAACTCGTTCTTTTCCTGGAGTCGGATTTCTGCTGATGTTGTAGTAAGCAGGTTCTCACGGCAAACCGTTTCGCTTCTCACATACTTCAACACTCAACACACTTGAAATATGGTAGATTAGATGAATCGGAGTGTAGCTGAACATATGTTCAATCACAATCATAACACACACATTAATGAATTCAGATTGCTACGCGTGCTCTTCTCTGAATACCACAGGGATTCTTCTCATTTGTGCTCCAATAAAAAACAAGAAGCCCAGAAATAGTTAAGGATAGTCATAGAGTTATCAATAAAGCAGAAAGGACCTATGAAGTCCTCTGTACTGTTCATTGATTGAGAATAGGAATAACATGTGGACTCAACAATGACAGACATTGAATTGTGCCTCCCACTATACACTACTCCATGTTATTTTCTTTTCATTTCTGACATCACCACCTTCAACCATGAAATCACTGAGGAACGATATACAAGAGGAAATTTTAAGATTTCCTGCGTTCCTTTTCCCTGTGTATTATTATACCACTTCTATATTTCAAATTCTGGTTTCATGTGTAAAGTCAAGGTGAATGATTCAATTGATGTTCTTACCTTGCCAAACTTCCCTATAGTACCATTGGAGATTGTCGGCCTGCGTATCATAGTGACCAAGGACTACGTAACTGCCATTTATCACTTGTTCAATCTGAGTTAACGCTATCCTATCACCTTGAGAACTGAAGGCGACGTAACCCTGTAAAAAAGTTACATAGTGAAATCAAAATATAGCTCAATCAACTTTCGGAATATTTCAATCTTCTGCAGATTGGAGATAATTGCCTATTCCATAGAGATGCAGTTTATGAGGCTTTTTGAATGTAAACCAGGTGTTGGACAGGCAGAGGAATGTGCAAAATGAGATCTTCATAGAACTTTAAACATCTATCCTCCAGATAAAACAAGAACGAACAATATGATACTCACTTCATCTACTATACCGCGGATAAATGTCACTTGATAACACGGAAAGAAATACATATTTCATGAAAATGATCGGATGATAATTTGAAACTAGTGAGAAAAAACAATTCAATGGGAATGATGTTGTTTAACACATGATAATCATCATTGAACATTATAAATATCGAAAAACAGCAATAATCATCTCGGATTATGACGAAGAAGTACTAAGCCATAGCATAATCTTACGAGCTTCTGATTTTTTCAACGATCGGAAATATTAACCATGATGCGGAAAGCGATTGTTATAAAAGGATATATTCGTCTTCATGAATGGAGAATTGGGAAAAGACGTTCCAACAAATCTCTGAAGTATAGTTGAGAAGTACAAAATGCATCGAATAAAATACACAAATTACTCTGAAGGCCAAATCGTCCTATACTCTGAGCGAATTTGAACAGCACAATTGTTTGTAAACTAAAGAAATCGGCAAAATTGGCACCGCAGAACTCAGGAAATTGAAGTAGGATATCCTATGGATTTTCAATCTTCTCTACGGATGATTCAAGTATGTCATATTCCAGAGATATTCATATTGGTAGCAGTACGATGAATGAGGTGGAGGAGGTAAAGCAATAGGCTTGACTTCTTCGTGCAGGAATTTTCGATTACATTGGGATGAAATATGAAAAATAATGGTGTTCCGTTAGGAAAAATAGATCCTAATCGATATACTGAATGAGATAAAAGAATTCATGGTCCAACTGAGTGCTCATTGTGAATCCAAAATAATTTCATTAATAATTCATCATTGAATTCTGTTGTGTGAAAGATGTTTCCAATGTCTACCTTTATAGTACCTACATCATCTGCATCGCAGTCTGATTGTAACAAGATTATGTTTCCCAGGACTTGACGGGTTCATGCAACGCATATACATGTATGTCACCAATATCAATACCCTATTGTTTCTGCACCGATTTTCCAACATATACCATCCCTGAACGAGTGTTTTCCACAGTTAGTTAGAGTGTGATCTACTTTTGTTGAAAAATTTGTTACGACCCTCTCTCGCTCCCTACGTATCTTCGAATTCAAACTAGCAACAAAAATAGCATACCTGACATAAAAGTAACTGATGTTTTCTCCAATTTCATTCAACTATATTGTTTATCAGAAACAGGACGCAAGTTGGGACACATGTTCAATTTTATTTCGAATTTGGAGCGCAATGAATTGCTTTCAATTACTTGCCTTTTGTTCAATTACATATTGGTTAGATAGCGATATTGATCAAAGTTTGAAGCGGAAATTTCACGATCAATGTAGAATATACTCACAGACACTCCTAGAAACTGAGTCGAGTTGATGGCTGAATAGATATCATCGGCTATTTCCTTGTTGTTATAATTGAAGTCTTTCAAACTCTTTCCAAATTTATGGAGACGATCCATTGTTTTGTTGAAAGCTGAAACAATAATAGCTCAGTAGAAGACTTTATACACTTCATGTTACCCATCAAACTTTTCAAGTGGCATGATCTCAATAACATTTCAATAAGGAATGATATCGGCATCTGGAATATTGTTGATGAAAGGGTAGATTTGGAAATCATAGTGTTATTCATCTTCATCAGGTCCAACTCCATTTGGATACGAATATATGGAAATTACTCTTCCGAAGTGTTGGAAAGCTGATTCTCGATCGAGACGGCAGAAGATGTAGGCATCCTTCAATGGATATGCGATTCTCATGTCGTATTTGCTATATCAAGACGTAATATTGTGTCAATTCCCTTCGTATAGTAATTTCTATTGATTATTCCAGCATATGTACAGTATCTGATCAACAACAAGGAATAGGAAATCATTTTACAAAAGTCACGTGAATACATTTCAATTTCATTTCTTTCTGGAGCACAAAAAACAACTTTTTTCATGCATTGAGATAAGTCTTAAAAGAATGTTCTCTGCTATCTTTCTCACTTTTTATAGTCACAAAAGTAACAATCGCAGTTATATTATTTTGCTTCTACTAACATTCACTTGATTCAAACTACTTCATTGGTTCTGAGGAAACAAAATACCTTCTGTCAAGAAAACGGAATGAGCTGTGGTACCATAATCGGAATCCTATGAAATCATTTCTGCTATCCTGAATTTTTTTTTCTCCGGATGACATTAAGAGTGACACTCAACAGGCAAAAAAGGTGTACTTTCACTGCCTAGGCATGAGAAGTTTATTGCTATGCAACGTTCCAAGTAATTTTTATTATATTGTAAACTATGATTAACTCGTAGACTTCGAATGAACGATTTATTATCGGGAATGACCAAACTAGGTATATCTAACAAGAAATCTATCAGAACCAGAACAACGCTTCTTGACTCAACGCTACAACGTCAATGTGTCATAATGACAATCCTGCTTTCTTGTCGTATACTGGGAGATCCGAATGTGCTTCATACGGGGTGATTATAGTCGGCCAACCTGTCCGCTTCACGCCCTCGGGAAGCTATCAGTTCACAACTTCGGTCCCCTTGCACCTAAACAAGAAAATAAACTAGTTAGTAGGTTATCAATAAAACTTCGCCTTTATGAAGGCATAGGACCGTGAAACGTATTTTTCACTATTCATCCTGCCCTGAAACGTTTTTCAGAACAGTGATTTCCGTTGGTGCGTCGTCTTCACCCTTGATAGTCGTATCATGATGTGCATAACAACCGTCAGAGAAACGTTTTCCCTCTTTGAACACTGCACAACATAACCCAACAGGAACGTATTTCCATCGTTGAATACCTTCACCTATTGCACTCACCTTATTATAGACGTTTTCTATAGACAAGGGTAGTGCCTACTATTGTAACGTATTTACATGATATACCTATGTGTAAACGTGATTACACAACGTACCCCTCCCGTTAAGAGTAAGTCATACCTCACCGTTTGTGTGGTATGCAATATTATTGCACAATACTAAATACCTAGCATTGATCTTCAATACCTTCAGTATCACTCGAAACAGGGGAAACACTTGTTACAAAGAGTTTCAACTGATCCGAAGGTCGTATACCTTTATAAGTTCGACGTGTTCGAGTAGTGCCAGGTATGCCCTCAATAACATATCGATCATTATCTTAAACTTTTGTGATAACAAAAGGCCCTTTGAAAGTAGGTTCTAATTTCTTGCTCTGTCCGTCATTTGCGATTGATGTCTGTCTTGCCACAACGTGTTGACCAACAGTGAATCTACGAGGCTTGGAATGCCTTGCATCGTATGCCATTTTCTGGATTTGCTGTTTGTTCTGAATCGAATGTGCCACGTTTGGTCTGAGCTCTAGGAAATCAGGTCGAGTAGAAACTTCATCACTTACTTCCGCAGTAAGAAAAGCATCATTCTTTCCTCGGGGACGATAACCGAAGAAAACTTCATAAGGTGACTTTCCAGTAACCGAACTGACCGTTGAATTGATACCCCATTTAACTTTCTTGATTGCTTCGTCCCAATGAGTTTCATCGTCGGTACTTGCTTTTAAAGATGATAGAATCATGCGATTCATCCTTTCCACCTGTCCATTAGCTCTTGGCGTAGCCGTAGCCACTAAAACTCGTTTGATACCTAAATCCGTACAGAATTTAGTAAACTGTTCGCTAGTGAAGGCAGTTCCTCTATCACAAATCAATCTTCTAGGAACCCCGAAAGTATCCATGGTCTCATTGAGAAATTGAATTACAGGACTTGTTTTGGTATTCTGGACAGCCTTCATAAAAACGAACTTAGTGAATCCGTCCACTGCTTTTATCAAATAACTGTTCCTTTTTCTACTCTTGACGAATGGACCCAGATGGTCCAGATGGAGAGTATCCATAGGGATTTCTTTCTTTTCGATGCTGATGAGACTACCTGGTCGTTTACCAGCTTGATTTTTATTATAAATGCATCCCAAACAGGAAGAGATGTAATTCTTCACATAGTTCCTCATGGATGAAAACCAGTAATTTTGAGTAAGTGATTCCAAAGTTTTATCAACAGAGAAATGGCCAGCTTCATCATGATAACACATCAGTAATCTCCTTCTGGCAGTTTTTGGTACTACCCATTTGGGACCTTTTGGTGTTTTCTTATAAATTCTATTTTTCTTGAGGCAAAACTCTTTGTGAATATTCCTCTTCTCGCCATTTGAAGGATCTTTAGACAAAACTTCGTGTAATTCTTTACAGCGCTCATCCTGTAGTTGGGCCGATAGTACCCAATCATCTTCGTTGACATTCACATGCAATATACTTTCAATAGTACCAGTCTCATCTAGAGGACTTCTACTGAGAGCATCCACATGATTCATCTTTGTCCCCGGACGATATTCGATAGAAAAGTCATATTCTTGAGTTGTTAGCCACCATCTGCCGATACGAGGAATCAAGTCCCTTTTAGTGAGGGTCGTGCGTAATGCATTACAATCTGTGACTACCTTGAAGTTGATACCGATTAAGTAAACTCTAAATTTCTTCAATGAATTCACAACAGCAAGCGTTTCCAATTCATAAGAGTGATATTTTTGTTCATCCTTCGTAGTTGAACGGCTGAAATATTGTATCGGTTTGAAGGAACCATTCGTTTGTTGAAGTAGAATACCACCAACACCTAACTTGCTAGCATCTGTATGAACTTCAGTTGGTGCTGATCTGTCATATAGGTATCTATGATATGATACAGGACGCGTAGTGAGTTTATTTCTGAGTTCTTCAAAAGCAACCTGTTGTTCAATATCCCATCTGAATTCTACATCTTTTCGAGTCAGATTAGAAAGTGGCTTTGCTATAAGAGCAAACTCTTTAATGAATTTTCTGAAATAGCTGGTTAAGCCAAGAAATCTTCGAACGTCGTGAACATTTGAAGGCTTCGGAAAATCAGACACTGCTTTAATCTTTCCTTCCGATATTTCGTGACCCAAATAATTGATTTTTGACTGGAGGAAGTGACATTTATTCAGACGTAAAGTCATTTTAGCCTCTTCAAATAATTTCAAAATTGTTTTCAGCTTTTCTATTCCAGTTTCAATAGTCGAGGAAGGAATGAGAACATCATCAAGATAAGCCATTGCGGTAGTAAATCGTAAAGACCCTAGTATTTCATTCATATTTCTTTGAAAGACCGCAGGACCGTTAACTATCCCGAATGGCATCCTCAAATATTCGTAGTGGCCATCTTGTGTTATGAATGCCGTTTTTGGAATAGATTCTCTGGCAACTGGTATCTGATGGTATCCAGAAGCAAGGTCTAAACTCGTGAAATATTTGTTGTCCTTCAATCCATCTAAGAAATCATCAATACGAGGTAACGGGTATTTATCCTGTATTGTTTTTCGATTCAGAGCACGATAATCGATACACATTCTCTCTTCGCCATTTTTCTTTTTGACAAGTAAAATGGGACTAGAGTATGGCGAGTGTGATTCTTGAATGATATAGATAGATAGATAGATAGATAGATAGCTCTTTATTTCCAACAGGTATACACCCAATTACAGGAAATGCTAGAAGGTAATATTCAACATAATGAATTACAAAACGACAAATATAAATAAATGTATATGCGTGCATGTAAGTAAATAATTGATTATATATTGGACAATACAGTGAAAAAACTAAAGTGAGAGAAAAAAAAAGGAGAAGTTTACAATCTATTGATGATACATTCCAAAATATATTTGAGAGTGCTCACATTGATATCACATACATCACAGATCAAATTATAATTAGAACACATTAACGACACTGGTGCCCTGCGCATTACGTTTGTTCGAATATTTTCACAATAAAAGGTCGTCTCACTTCTAGAATTAAGGCGAGGAATATGAAAGTTGATTTTTTGTAAAAGTGAGGCACAGGAAATACTATTGTGCAGTAAATTGTAGAGAAATGATATTGTACCAAAGATACGACGAGTGTGTAAAGAAATTACATCGAATCGATTCAGAAGGATTGACTGATATCATTATCTAACAAATCTTGAACAATTTCCCTGACCTTCTCTCTTTCTGAGTGTGCTAGGCGATATGGCCGATAAGTGATTGGTTTGTCATCAAGTAAATCAATTGATATTTCTGAAATATCAGTTTTACCCAACTCGCTCAGTTTATTCGCGAAACAATGTCGATATTTATTGATAAGATCCAATAGTTTCTTTTGATCCTCAAGTTTGAGTACGGGATCGAACTGTTTTTTAACGTCATCCAATGTGAAATCAGAAATTTCGCAGCACTCTGTAGATAAACAATTCAAAGATTCGATATCACTCTCAATGCATGTGTATCCCCTAGCAATTACTCTACCTTTACTGTACTCGACAGATTTGTCTGACGTATTCATGACAGAAATAATACCTCCATTTTTAATGTTTGTTATACATCGTGGAATTACATGAAAATTATTGGGCCAGGTACGATACTGCAATTCAATGTACACAT